TCATTATTCATGATAGGCTAACCGTTCTCATCCTTATGCAAATGGTCATTAATGCTGACATTTCTAAGTCTTTCCATGCCATTTGAGCTACAGAGATAATTCTTAAAAGTCCAGTCCAAACCTCCGGTCCTTTTTTTGAAGCAACCTATACGGCATTTTCACACACCATATACTGCTGACGTAAGGGATACATATGGTTATATAAGAAGTTCCCACATTTGAACCAGCAACCTTGGCCTTTGCCCCCATAAACAGGCAAGCTAATATGGTTCATGGCTTTTATTTCCTTTTGATGGCGACTCCCCTCGCCTTCAGCTGTGATGCTGTGATTGGGGTTATTATAACAGCACCCTTATGATGTGATTTTAGCAATCAGCAAAAAATCCTGCGTGCTCTGAATCAGCAGTCCACGGAGAGGGAAGAAATGATTTCCTCGCAGTCGTGCTGTCATGGCCCGCTGACGCCATCCAGCTACGTTCATTAATCACCCACGCAAACGCACGCACGGAAACACACACACACACACAAACGCATGCATACAGTAGATGCGTGCACACACGCATACACTCTGCAGGTGCGTACTGTGGGATCCTGGAAGACATACTGTGCAGGATGAAATGGATCAAATGTTTTCTGCACGACGTTGTTGTATTTCAAGACTTTCTCTCAACAAAAAGTGTTTAATGAGGGGGAATAGAGATATTAACATGTAAGATAGACAGATACGATCCTGTATCCGCATGCGCCATACTGGTTGACAATATGTAAATGACAGTGGTGTGTGCAGAGCCCTACAGGCTTTCTGCGGCACCCACAGATGGCTGCAGTGAGCATTTGCTAATGTACATCGTGTGAATGAAACTACATGCCAAGCTCAGCAGATGCTACACAAGTGAGGTTTAGGTTCTGACAGGAATAACGCAGGACTTTCTATGCAATGATAAAGCTTCATGTGGAATGGGGAAACATATCTTTGCAAAGACAGACTTTAGCTGTCCTGATGTGGGAGTTATTTTATATTTCTTAAATTGTGGAGATGTGATTTTGGATTTCAGGATTGCATTGTTTAGTTTATATGTTGCATGTCTTCTTTGTGATTTCCTTTGTCTTACTAACATCTTGGTACCATGTTGGAAATAAGTGTTTTCACTTTAACATCCTGTCTGATAATCCTTCAATACAATCGATCAAGCTGAGGGCTGCTGACACGAGCCTTACACTTGAATTACAGTAACTATAAGACAGAAATGGTGTCCTTTAAATCCCTAAATGTTGACCTGATTTTATGATGTTTCTAAATGTGCTTGGATATAGCTGGGTCAAACACCTCCACACAAAAGAGGTCTACAAAGTACATACTGCACCAACATTTATTATACGTGTAAGGTACATGTATGACCATTCCCAAGACAATAAAACTATCTAACAATTGTAAGATCGACTGTAGCTCTGCATGAAAAACAGCAGCTCCCTCATTCATTTATATGAGGCCACTCAGGTGACGCAGCAGCTCGGACAAAAACATGCAGGATCGTCTCTAAGAAAAGTTTAACAGCCCCAACCCTGGTGACAACGTGACCTCATCCAGCAAGGCTCTGTGTTGGCCAGTCTGATTACTTTGTAACTTAAAGGGTTTAATTCTACTGTTTACCTCACAATTACTGCAACAAAAGATAAAATTATTGTCATTGTGATAACTGTCCAGAGCTGTAAATCCCATCTCAGAGAATTATAAACCATTGTGCAGTGTTTTGCTGTCTGATAAACCTTCAATCTCATGGATCTATACCTCAAATATTCCCTTTTAACGCATGGTTGTTTTCAGTTTGACTGCCCACAGGCTACCAGCCATGTTGCCATCTCAAAGTAGAATTTTAATAAAATGCACTTCTTCAAAATTTGCAACTTATAAAAAATATTTAAAATAGTGTAGATTTCACAGCATGTACCTCTCACCGCTCAGCAAAGCCCCTTGACTTTGTATTTTTTTTTACCAGCGATTACAATCCCCAAGCAGTGACCCAGCTCGTGCAGTAAAGAAAATATAAGCTTAGTCACGTTTGTAGTTATATTGGTGGAAAATGTCCCACAATGTGCAGAAATAATGGATTTAAACATTAAGCTTCACTGTGGGCAAACATTTCAGTCATCCCAAGTTGACGTCTGCGAGATCAGCATCACACAGTTTTGAAGATCTCAACCCTCTGCTAGAAAACGGGTGAAGAAAATAAACTTCTTTACCCCCTAAGACTGACAGAGGTGACACAAAGTGACCAAATTAGTATAGAGCAAAGTGCAGAGGTTACAGATGGAGCTAGGCCGAAACACAGAAAGTGACAGCTTTTTACAACTGCCTGCAGGTCTGGAGACTTTGTAGGAAAACTCAAGTGGATTTCTTTGACGAAAAAGTTGGATTAGATTCCCAAAAACCCACAAATGAACTTGTAATGAACTGGAAACGTGTGCTGTGCTTTTCCATAAAAGTGTGCAGAGGCTGATGAACAAGCACTTTAAAACGCGCAGCATCAAGAGGCTGTTGACGTAGCATGACTGCCGGGGGAGCAGTGGAGTCAGGGTTTAGATTAAAGTAATGAACACAAACTACATTATACAGCAGCATCATGCCTTAGAGCTCCCACACCCACTGAACGGAAAGCAGAAACACATAAAGCCATATATTCACAAATGCACTGCTGCAATGGGAACTATCGAACAACGCAGCACTTAATTTGGGTTCTCCTCCTGATGTGCATACACACGCAAACACACACACACACACACACACACACACACACACACACACACACACACAGGCTGCCTGATTGCTTGTATATAATGATGGCTGTGAGGTTTTACCAACTGCTGGAGTTCGGCCAGCTGCTGAGGGGGTCCCTGTGTGGATGCCCAAACCATGATTTGATGGAAAGTGTGTGTGTCTTTTCTGTGTATTATCGTCAGACAGATTTTTGGTGAATATTTTTTTGTCCTCACGTGGACCTTAATCGTAACTTTAAACTTTATTTAACTTTTTAACTAAAATTTTAACAAAAAATGTGTCTTTGCTGACCGTCATGTAAGATCATTCTCATGTCTGTACAGTAAATATGAAGCTTACAGTCAGCAGTTTGTCAGCTTAGCTCAGCATTAAGACTTTAAACGGAGGGAGACAGCTAGCCTGTGTGAAGGTAACAAAATCCAGTTACCAACACAGAATTTCCACCTTGTGTCAGGGGCATGAATTTGACTGATTGGCGCTTGAGGTTTGACTGAAGCTCTGTCGACTGTGTCTCATCGCGCCCTCTTCTTCTACAATGGTTTAATGGCACCCAATGGGAAAATGAGTACCACTGTTTATAATGATGAGCTATCTCCAAATATTCGCACAACATTCTCCTTTTTCCACTCGAACTTCGAACGTTTCTGAAGCAGATTCACGAAGCTCCGCAATAAGTGCAAATTTTCTGCTCAAGTTGAAACATTTTCAAATCTTTGTGTCTCCTCGGGCATATTAGCACGTAAATTGCCCTCTTCCATTGACGTTGTGTGCCATTGCACCCCCTGCAGTTGAGATGTGATACAGTGCAGCACACAGACTACTACCATCCAAAATCATGTACAGCAGTGAGGATTCTAGAGCATCCATATGTCTTCTGTTATCTGCTGCAACCATCTTTCTCTGTGTGGTTGCACATTTGAACGGCTTTCCAGGCTACTGACTGGCTGACAGATTGCATCCTGACTTCTCTGCCCTGGCCTTCATCATGACATGTGGTGCAGACCCATGCGAGCCAAATCTTTCTTTGTGCTTAGTTTCCTATCCATTACAGCCGAAGATAACACACAATAGAAAATGTTGAAATAGAATGAAAAGACGGCCGGATTGTCATCTGCTGAAGCAAACACTGAGGTATATAAAGGCCTAAAGGCAAACATTAATTTACCGACTTGGGTGTTTGACAAATATCTATTCAGCGTGAACCTGCGTGCAGTCAGAGCCTTGAAGCAAACACCTGGTCAGAATTTCTACATGTTTGAGCCAATCAAACTGCCCGTTCAGCCTCCCGGGGCAGCTTTATTGAAAACTCATCTGTCACTTTCCGCCTCTTTGTTCCACTTGCACCGTTCACTACACTGCAGCGTGCACAGCGGCTCCAGCGGCTGAGCGCAGCCCACAGACCACGTACAGGAAGGAACATCAATCACCGACGAGTCTTTTTGACGCAAGTCGCGTCCCATAATTAGATTTCGGGCTGTCCTGCTGCCTGGGAATCAATCCTCCCCTGCGAGGCGGCGGCACAGAGCGCTGTACAGTTAGATGACTATCCCCACACTGCATCGAGCATTAATGGATGGATCTGCTCTCTCAGCTCACTGCAGACTCACCCAGCCTGCATGTGCGCGCCCGGCGGACGGGGGAAGCTCGGGGTTGCCTCCGCCGTGCGTGCGTGTGTACCAACTCATCTCTCCACGACCAGTGAGCACGACAGGATGGTAACACCCCACCACCAGCACACACATGTAAGATCTGGGAAGTCTAAACTGCTGGTTAAATTGTGCATAAGGTCTTTTTTTTTTTTTTTTTTTTTTTTTGCTGCATTTCATAAAATTAACTTTGCACTCAGAATAACTGTAAATGAAACAGGTCTTACAATATTCACTGATTAAAAAGCACAAAGATTTGATCAGATACAGCTTATGTGGTGTAAGTGTGTTTTCCCAAGCACACTTAATGATGCACATGTTAGACAACTCTTAGAAAGTTCCCCAACTTTTCCGTCAATCATCGCACAGGAGGTTTATTCCCAATTTTATTGCCATTACAAAAAAATTAAAAAGCATTTTTAACCAGCAGGTGCATATCACCTGCAGATATCTCCTATTTCCATTTTGCATATTAAATTATCCACACAGAGAAGAAAGATGCGATCTATGTGACACTACAGCGGAGTGCAGGTGGGGGGGAAGAAGTTTGGCCCATTTAAAAGAAAAGAAACACTTACAGTGTGCAGAGGACCAGATGCATCGCACCGAGCTCGATGAGTCTCCCCGATTTCTCTACACAGCAGCAGAGGCAGGAGGCATCGCGCCGAGATTTCTTGTTTCTTCTCTTCTCTCGATGCAGCGGTTTCTCTGCTGCAGTCCAAGGGAAGAGGAGAGAGGCTGGGAGGGGAGGTGGGAAGCGTGAGCGCGATGAGGAGGAGGGGGGGAGAGGAGAGGAGAGGAGAGGAGGAGGGAGGGAGGGGGGGGCGCAGGAGTAATAGCCAGAATGAAAATCGATAGTATGGACCTATCTCCTACGCACAATAGTGGGCATTTCCGTAGAATACAGCGCAACAGTGTCTGGCGGAGGCGCAGTTGATGCAGGATGGTTGGCACAGTCTCTCGCTGCTGAGTTTCAGACAGAACAAAGAGGAGCTGGAGTGAAATGTGGCTCCTGGGAAGAAGTTTACTGAGGGATGACGGACTGTTGCAGGATCTGCAGAGTCAACTTAAAACCGCTGGAGCACCACACTGCCAAAAACCCAGAGTGCCATTTAATGTAATCACACCATACAGGCTGCGATTCAGTCTATTAAATAATCCCAATGAATCACTTTATACTGGATTATAATCAGTATTTATGACTTCAAATGACCCCGAAAAACATCTTAGTCATTAGAAAATGGTCTGTGCTGGATCATCAATTAGGGCAATAATTAACAATCATTTTCATTATCGATTAATCTGCTAATTACTTCCTCGATTAATGATAACATGTCAGAAAATAGCAGAAAATGCCCATCATTATTTCTTTAAGCCCAAATAACTGCTTGTTTTGTGTTTTGACTAACACTCCAAAAATCTATATCTAAAAAGATATTCACAAAATCAAGAAGGCAGAATAAGTGTATTTTTGGCATTTTGCTTGATAAAAAATATAGCAGCACAAGCAAGGCTGATAAAAGTGTAAATGGGCCCCATGATGAAAACTGAATCTGGTAGACACTGCAGACCCACTTCAAACACTTAGTAGGCTACTGATGTAGGCTCCAGGTTTCCACCAGGAAGAAGAATGTGTGGAATAAAAGGACAATGCTACTTCTGGCTCTGCTGCATTGATTTAGAGCTTCTTTTTTAAAAAAAACTATCCATCGTGAATCTGACAATGTTATGTGAGTGCAATACTAAATCGGTGCAGTTAAAGCAGCTTTGACCGAACTATTTGAGTAGCAGCCAAGTCCCAATCCTAAAGCAGTTGAGAGTTTTTTTTAGTACATTTAAATGGTTGGATGGTACCGATATTGTAATAATAAAAGCGATTCTGGAGAAAGATTGTTGATATTCAACCCGGTCTCACTTTCTCAGTTGCTAAAATCTCAAATTTGCCCCCTTTTCCTTTCCTGAACATTTAGCCCATAACAGCTAATGTAATGCATGTATGTATGTGAGTGTTACTTTGCATGTCTGTTCCCACTGTCTTTGTATTTGTACCTTCTGAACGGTGCCAGACAGCGGCAAAAAGTTTGAGGCTAAAAGAGTTCAATGCGGGTGTCTGGGCAGAGAGAGTAAGCAATCCCCCAAAAACCCATCCCATTCTGCATGGCTAGAGAAGGGCCATTATGAACTCCAGTGAATGAGCACTCCTCTCCTCCGCTCTCAGAAATAACCATTACAGGAGAAATCTCAAGGAGCGAGGAAGGAAGCCTGGGAGGACGTCCCTCTTACCCAGTCAAATAAAAATGCAGATACATTTGCATTTCTATCCAGCAGCTGTTGTTTAATTTGAGGGTTGAAATGAATAAAACCAAACACGCACACACACACACACACACACACACACACACACACACACACACACACACACTAATTCATATCAGGATATGCCTGCACACACACACATATGCACAACATAAAAGTACTCAACTGGCACTAATTTGCTGCCACATTAACATAACATGAGCTCTGTTCTTGATTTCAGAAATCATGATCTGGGCATTCAAACTGATAAATCTGTGTCTCTTTCTATTGTATTCTCCTTTTTCTTCCTTTTTCCTTTTCATGAGCCGTCATCTATAGTCTTTGATCAGTCAAAAATATGCTCACATGCAGCATCGGAGTAGGTGAGTGGGTGGACGCAGAGAAAAATACTGGAGGAAAAACAACAAAAGGGAGGAAAGATAAAGAGAAGTTCTGTGTGTTTGTGTCCAGCAAAACAAAGCTTTATTGTTATGGTTGAACATGATTGATGGTAATGTCATCTGCGCAGGTTCTCATGAGTAAAAGGACAGTAATGACAATAATAATAATATTATAAATTAAAGGGTAGGCTGTGAAACCCACAATGAACAAAGTCTCGGGGGAGTTTTCAGTATGAGAAATCCGTTGTATAGATGGATTTACAGTCGAAGCAAAGGGTTAGATTTATAGCTGAGCATCAGATTTCACCCGTTGATATCGCCTCTGCAGTGCAGGCTGTATCGTGCTTTATATTCCCCCACCGTAACTGTGTTTACGTTCTTTAATTTACTTTGTGATACAGAGCGACAGTGAGCTGCACACAGATTTATAGAACTGGAGTTACATCTGCTTATGACGTTATTCCGTCCTGTCTCGTTACTGGATAGGAGAGTACAGTCGTGCAATCCTTGTGTTTGCGTTCATTCATTCTTTCATACAGAGCGGTAATTTCTTTGTTAGTTATTTGTTACTGAAAAGGACTACTGAAAGTCTCTCTCTAACTTGCTGTCTTTAATTGCAACAACCTCCACCAGCATCACAAACATTTAGAGGAAAACACAAGCCACAAATCGCAGTTCTTGCAGTCTCTACGTACTTAATGCAAAGGTATCAAACCAGCTTTATTGTACTTATTTTAGGGGAATGCTATCAATTTTACACACAAGGATCCGTTTACTCATCTTCAGGAGCAATACTCGGTCTGTGAAAACAGTTGCATGATGATGTAATCAAGGATTGGGGACATCAAGTCATCAAACAGCCATTTATTAGGCACTTCTTCAAAACCCTGCTTTACATAACAGCAGCAATGTTTTTCATTTCAAAAGGACTGTGGTTATGGTTAATAAATATGTACATGTGAATTACAGGTCTGTGTATATAAAACTCCTGCACAAGACGTGCTACGCAATTATGAATCTACAATATTGTCCAACATGAAGGACAAACTACTTCCCGCATTGGCACTGAACACTGACATTGGACATAAATCTCGAGGTACAAGGGCTCGTTCCACAAAAGCAATTTGTGATACTGCTTGCATAAAGATCGGCAGCGTCAGTTGGCAGCAACATGTCACCAGCAACCAGTGATTATCTGCAGATAAAATTGTGCATGGGCTCACACATGAATGTTTAGTCCCAAATATGACTTTTTTTTTAAAACAAAAAACAAGATTATCACTTGCAGCCAGGTTTGGGGACATGTGGGTGGGGAACAGGAAGTGCAGGGCAGGCTGTGTGTCCAGTGTGTTTGCATGAGAGTGGAATGAAAGGGAGACAACATTTAGGTCACATTATGAAGAGCAGACATGCTATATAGAGACAAACCTCAGACAATTACAAAACACCAGTGATGTAAAATGTCAATTTCAAGGTGAAAATGTCAACCAAAGAATCTGCCAACACTAATGTGACTGCCATGTATGTTGTCTCTAGCAGAGACTACATTCCACACTGAAGCAGTTGTTGATCACTTGCAGCACTGGCCAGTACAAGGAGTGAGGAGCCAGCAGTCAATGGTGGTATAAAACTAAATAAAATAGGTTTTTAAAGAATTGTGAATCACCATAACTACGAGAGGTCCTTGAGCGTACAGTCATACATGTGGACAAACAATCTTAGGCTGATGGGTCCAGTAGTATGTGAAATTAGCTGCGGACAGATACACACAACCAAACCAAACACATGTCAATTAGCTTCACCGAAAGGAATCATCTCAAATCACATGTTGCAAATTTGGTGAAGTGGTCGCCAGAATCGTGTAATATGGACATTGCTTTTGGGGATACAAGGCTGCTAAAGAAAAGACACTGTGGAGCTGCAATATGGAAACCTTGGAGTCTTTGTAATGTAATGCTTATCCATCTGTATACATTTAGCTGCTTCACCAATAAGAGAAATACACTGTGTGTATATCTGTGTGAATCACACCAGCATTCAAACAAACGCTCTGATTTGGAAACTCACTGTAAACATGTCACTCTCATTTATATAGGCACTAAAATGATGCTCATAACCGCCCTCACATTCTCTTCAGTACTAATGAATGAACTTGACATTTTTGCAATCTTCCCCAAACCTCTCAATATTACAGCCTTTGGGGAGTACACTTAGATAATATACTGCAAAACAGTTTTGAGTAATTTAGTTGGATGTGTGATATGGAGTTTAATTGATTTCTAATTATACGCCCTGGTGGGCACATAATTTCATGCGTAAAAAACAAAGGGGGTTGTTAGCAAGGTCTGCTTTAGAATGCATCAGGATGCACTGCTTTGTTTTCCCTGTAATTACACACTCCACTCATCTTCCGGCGCATACTTTGCACACACACACACCTTTGAAAAATGTATTTTGAGATGTGGGTAATTACTTGTTTTTGTTATAACTTCCAACTCCACTGAGTAAGTACTTTAGAACAAGACTGAGTGATTCATACTCATACAAAGTAATTGACAAACTCTATTCTACATATTAACATTACTAAACTTCACTCAAATCATCAGCTACACTCATTTTGTTGTGATGTTAGCAACATGCTGAATATAACTGCTCAATGAGCCGGACACACTACAGTGGCCTCCTATCTGGCTTCTGTTTCCACCCTCTCATAAAGCTACACAAAGGAGCTTGTGAAAGGTTGAGATACTGTTGAGTGGTGTTAAGTAACGAGACAAATGGCCTCTGGAATAGCCCGGCAGGTTAAAGCAATTACATTTCTTAACACACACAGGTGAAGGGTTGCAGAAGCGGAGGAGACTGTTTGAAGAGGTGGCAACGTTTAAAGACAGAGAGGAGGAGTTAAGAGGCAAAATTATTATAATTTTCTCTGTTGTTGGATACCAGCAGGAATTATTCAATGTGTGAAAAGTTTTTTGCAGCCTCTTGCGAATAAAAGCAGTTTCTTGATGTTCCAGTCGTGTCACCGTGATCCTTATAATAGCAGCTTCAGTGTGGTTCTGTA